ATCCCTTCGCAATCTGGAATTGAAGTCTCCAACAACGAATTTATACAAATACACATCCATTGTGGCTCGAGTGGCGCAGTGGTGGCAGGTGCCGTTCAAAACACTCATGGAATCGGTCCACATACCTAAGGCCCACCAGGTCTTCAATCTGTCCGGGGTCGGCATATTGGTACCAGACTTGTCTGTGAGGATAGCTGCACTGGCTGGATACACCGGCCACCGCGAGTCATTGTAAAAACCAGATATACATTCAATCACCTCCAACGATGCTTAATGAAGTCGTATGCATTGCGCATTCCTCAGAGATTGATCAACTCCGAGAGTTTTATCCTTTTCCTCTACACATCCATTGTGCTTGCTGGTGACTAGCAGTTAATGATACTGATACTTCCACGCGAAGCTAAGGGACTAGAAATGGCTAAGCAAGGTGGTAAGGGGCTGCGACTAAAGGAATGCTTCGACTAGACTAGATTAGAGGCTCCAGGGAACCACAAATAACTCAGCCTTCCGCAGTATCCAAGGCTTTGAGAGCTTCCGCCTACGATGTCGGGCGTTGTGAAAACAGGAGACAAGCGGTCCAGTCTCGAGTTCCACCGACCATTTCAGTTATTTTGAAACAAATTAAATGTTAACAACCATTGGTTGTTTAATTCCACATCTTTTCCTGAGTCTTTTTTTATATGCTTCATACAAACATAGATTACAGGAAAAGCACCACTGCTTTCGTAAAGCCGCTTTCCTGGTTGCTTAAAGTCTAGCAGTTTGTTCTTCTGAAGTGTTTCTTGCTTTTTGCCCTTGGTCATGACTTTCCACAATAGTAGTTGTCGGGTATTCTCCACAATAGTGGTTGTCGGCTGCGGTTTACTGACATCATCGATGTGAATTCAGCTTCTGTATTTTATTTCGTTTTTTTTTGTTTTTTTACTTTGATTCTAATTTACTAGGGAATTTTTACGACTAGTCGAGTTGTTTGTTGTACTTAAAGCCTTGGTTGTTTTATTTTACTGTTTTGAAGGCGTATTTAAGCATTGCAGTGCTCACAGATAATTTTCTGCGTAGGCTTTCCGCCGACTTTGCGACCAGTGGGTACCAGTCGATAAAATTTTACATGAATGCTTTGACGGCTGGCTTTGCGGGAGATGTAGAACCCAGATTGTTCTTCATTCTTTCGCGATCGTTATCCATGGTGTTGGTTTGGGTCATTCTGCGATGAAAGGGATAGTGGATAAAATCGTCTGCGTTTATCAATCCCTGAGAAATGCGCTAAGCATTCGACTTCACTGAGTATCGTTGGAGGTGACTGAATACATATATGGTCTTTACAATTCGCTGTGGCCTACCGATGTATGTATCGAGCCAGTGTCGAGCATCGAGGTATCCTCCGAGACAAGTATGCTATCAATATGCCGACCCAGGAAGGATTGAAGGTTTGGTGGGCGTTGGATACGTGGATCGATCCTACGTGTGTGTTGCACGGCTCCTCCGACCACTGCGCCACATGCGCCACAATAGATTTGTATTTGCATAAATTCGTTGTTGGATACTTTAGTGCCAGATTAAAAAGGCTAACGAAAATGAGTAGAAAAAGTGGTATAAATGAGGAGTATGCAATGACAATAGAAACCGTCTTGCCGCAGTCCCCTCCACAGCATAACTTTACGCAAGTTCATTTCTCGAAAAGAAAAACATTCCCGCTGGGCATCTGAGTCTCCTAAAGGCACGCTCATAGAAAGGTTAACCACGAACTCGCAAATAAGATAGAACATCCTTGGAGCCTATGGGTGTCATTACTCTCTAGTGGATCTGATCACCGTACCGGTCTAGGCATGTAAACGCAATTAGAAGTGGAGTTGTCGTTGAGGAAAAAAACCTATGTATAAACAGGAAGCGTTTGCTTATTTCTCTTCACCTAAGTGAACAAATGGGTTGACGTGATTTGACAATGTTCCTATTTCTACGCGTAGTACTTTTGAAAGTCGTCGAACCATTTTGTGCAGACCTGCTTCAATTAACGTCTTTGGGTAGTTATCACTGTCGATAATGCACCCTCTTTAAAACTCTCGCCTCCAGATAGTGCATCAAAAGTATTCAATGACTTTTTAAACGAATGCAAAGTTATAAGCTGGTTAAAGCGTGTGAAAGTGACTAAACCCTGAGGGGTGGGCTACTCATTAGCAACTGGTATTCCTAACAGTCGTCACAGTTCTGACTAATACAGTAATGAATGGGTTGACAACAAATGGTAGAATGGAAGGAAATAGTTGAACTGCATTCGCTTCTTTCAGGTACAGGAGCAGCTCACTAGTCTCCATGCGCTTGGCGAAGATGGTGAGAATAACACTTGCCATGATGCATTTTTCACATTTTCTAATGAGAACATTAGAGTAACACGTATTGGGTAAACGTATTGCTCTCCTATGGCAAATGTTTAGTAGCTGAGTTTCTAGATGGTAGTGATAACGAATAAATAGTGCAGCCTATCGTCTGCTCATCTAGAAAACATCGAATTATTGATCGACTGGAAAGTTGATAGAAAGTCAGTGCAGGGATTTGCCACAAGGTGGCAATGTACTCGTATTTCCAGCTGTCGTCTTGGGTGAGCTAGAAGCCGTTTCGGGGTCATGTAAGGTATCCTTCATGCGTCTAAATATAATTAGCAGCTAAGCATTTTTCGAGAACCACATTTTAAAGCCGCACTATCGAATATGAAACCAAGTTCTAGTAGAAAAACTTATAGAACCTAAAAGTAGTTCTCGGTCTTCTCTCTAGGGATAAACACTAGGAGTAATGAAGTAATTCGGTAACCCACCTCTCCAGGAATGAAGACTAGAGGTAACGAATTAATTCAGTAACTCACAACTGCTCACCTACTCGCATATACTTTTCAGCTCGTCGTTTCTCTGCGGTTTCAACTTCACGCTCCTCCACACTTCGACCATGTCAATGCGATATCGGCGCTAATTGCTTAGGGTGGCCCGATTTGCTTTTAACAATCACAAATTCGTTAATTGTTCGAAGGCTAACAGTTAAGCAGTAGGAGACTTTTTTCAAAGGCGGAAAAATTGGGATGCGTTACAGCCTAATTCAGCATTGTCGCCGGACCTCTCACCTGCTGAATACCAATTATTATCAGCATCAGCTCTCACTACTACGCCTAGAACGGAAACGCTTCCGGTGGATTCCTGATCGCTGGAGTCCCAGATCGTTGCCTTGTGGGACAAGTCTTGTACCTCTTTAGCACAAACGCGCTGCTTTTAGTACCTGTTATTCCGAGTGTTTAAGTTTGACTTAAGGCTACTGTAAGCTTATATATATGGAACTCGTCGTTATGAATAGGTTGTTGAGCTCCATTTTGGGCTCGTAAAACCTGTCAACGTAGAAGAATTCTGTTTTCTCAGCTGTCCCCACTACAGTTTTATTGTTTAATCCTAAGTTAGTGTAAAGATAGATGTGTAAAGGCTCCTAAACGCGAGAATAATTCGGAAACTGCGGTTATATATAGAGCGGCGAGCATAGCTGCAGGCTACAATTAAGTTGCGGTTTCCGATTTTGTGTAATATTTGGCTTGAAAAAGGCCGAAAGCTTACAAGGAAAGGATTCATGAACTTGTAAACAACGTGAACGAATTTTATTCTCTGATGGTAGTACACATGCATCTCGTGAAATATTAAGCTGAAGTAGATTAAAATTCCTTCATTTCTTTCTGAGCCTGGTCTTTCGAAAACTGCAGTGATTCGTTATACTCCTGAAAAAGGCAATGCTACTCCGATGCCTCACAGTGAGCCGATCAGAATGAAGTATAACTGCAGTTGTTATTTAGCAAGAGTCTTCATACGATAGTGGTAGGATTTGCGCATAGCCAGTTTAGCTCATCGTTATTCTTTCATTACAGACGATGCTTTGTCAATGTTACCCATCGAGCTATGTAGTCGTAAAGGGTTTATCGTTGGCTAAATGAGGTGGTTTTGCTTCTAGTTCTTTTAATTGTTGCGGTAGTGCTTATGCGGCTTGTGGTTTGAGGTCGTGCAAAGGAATCTACCCCCTTCGCTTGATAAATGCCTCAGTAAAGCTAAGTTGTGAACTTCACAGACTTGTAGAAAAGACCTCGCTTTATCGATCCATTCTTTATGAAATATCCTGCCATCGTTATATTTTTCATCGTGGTAGAATAAGAGATTTACTTGCTTGATACTTGAACGGCCCGTCATCACTAGTTGTGCGGGCCTCAGCATAATCACCATTTTTCGAAGATTTGCTGGTTAAGTCATTGTGCTTCCTTGGAATCCCGAGGACAGCCTGGCCGAAGTCTGCCCCAGGTCGTCACCACGATATGCAGTCGCAACCGTTGTGGATCAGAGGGAGATTTACCACCATGCGACTTTGACACCAAGACGGTGGTGGATCCTGATATTGGTTTGCGCTTAGCTAGGCTTCCTGATAGAGACAAAAAAATAAGAGATTTGGTTGCAGATATTTCAGATTCTTTTGGGATTTACTTCCATTAGTGAAATTCACTGTGAGCTAGTAAATTTGAAGTCATGAGTTGTTTTCGTACTTTACGATTTGCATTATATTATAACTGGAATGGTCACAAATGTAATCACAATGTGAAAAAGCAAACCATCGTTAATTCAAGAGCTAAAGCATTCGCAGATCAGCCTTCCATTAGCTTAACGCTAGCTTAAAGTTGTAGCAGACTGTCACTACCAGCTAGGGAACACTTAACAACCGCTCAATTGGGAGGTGTGAGTGATAGCACGCATGTCAGTATCACATTTTGATTAGCTCACATAATAGTTTTTCTCATACTTTATAAAGTTTGAACAGATGTGTTGGTTGTGTTGCAGAATACCCTATTAAATTATTCACCCCAATATATCCACATATATTCGGTTTATGGGCTCACTAATGAAAATTCTATATTATTTTTCAAATTTACTCTGGTAACAAGATCTTTCTTTCAAGCGAGACAGAAAGGGCTATTCTCTGTGACTCTTGTACTAACGAACACATACCTGATAACTTTGTTTATCTTTCGTTGGATTCGTCACCCTCACGCCACTCTGCAATGGTTTCTTTTCAGCTAGACATTGAAGTGTTACTTTCAGTGCCGTCATTGTCATTTCGTGTTCCGGTTCGTTCGGTCTAGAAAGTTTTTTCTGAAGAAGCAAACAGTCTATTAATGTACAAAAAAATAAAGGATTGCTGCTATTTTGCAGCCGTACCGATTAAGTAGATATGCCTCGTCTTTTGATGCTTGATTGCTGCTCCTAGCTGATGGAATCACAGGCGATACAGTTCCATTTTGCTTTTCTTTTGACATCTTCAAATTGTATTATGAGATTGAAGCTCTCCTTTATAAAGTAGAAAGCTCTGGAAATCAATCAGCGTAAGACCTCACTACTAACATCGTTACTGGAACGTGAGACCGCCTCTCCGAACTGAATTGAAACTACGAAATGAAGTCGATCTTACCTGCTTCGGCTTTATATGTCTTTTTCGAAGGTAATCAGTATATCATATTGGTATCAGTATAGCTGGTTACCGGTTGGTATCAGTATATCATATTTTGGCAAAAGTGATGTTGAGTTGCGTAATCAAACAACTAATGTGTTCATGGGAATTTCATTGTTCAACAATACAATTATAATAATATAGCCGGTTGGTAAACAATGGATAAGGGAGGCAGTGAAAGACACAACAAGGTTTGGTTGCAGTGGTGAAATGTTGCGCAATTATCTGACCGTAGAGCGAAAATAAGCAGTAGGTAATGAAATGTTTGACAGTTATGCATAGTTACAGCTACAGCCAAGGACTGGATGTGTGTTTATTCTTGTAATCATGTTAAATTTTGGTGGATAAACACGACATTATTATTACTACAGTATTTATTCATCCACAATAGCTGACGTCTCGACGGTTTCGGCTTCCTCAAAGCCTAGAACCGTCAAATTGATACACGATCTGCTCAGCGAAACGCTTTCATAACGTCGGCAGATAAAACTTCTTCGTAAATTTTATAATAAGCAGTATCTTTTAAACACTCAGCGTTTTGTTTTTAGTAAGTGCCATTCATTTGGTGTAGACCAGCTGCACAGAGTCTCACATGGGTACGAAAAGTGCCTGGCTCTGATGAAAAAATCAGCCCGAGGTGCGGCGCGAGGTTATACGTCAAGTTAACATTCTCCGCTTTTCCTTGAAGATTGGTGGAGTGCTAAAAAATTGTTTACCGAAGGAAAATAGTGAGTGTATCTGGGAAACTACTAGTATTCGCTCGCGTTGTTGTAGTTTTCGCTTAGTGAATTGAGTGCGTTTTAAAATATCCGTATCACCTATCATCCACGACATGAGGTTGGTAGAAAAGAACCGGAACGTTAGCCGAGTGAAAGTTCTTTTAAATCATCCTTTTGTTCCAGGCTCTGAGGAAGGCGAAGTCGCCGAAACGTCAGTCATCGTTTAATAACATCAAAAACAACGACAACGAAGATCTGTACCAACCTCGCGTCAGCTTAAGAAGATCAGTTTATAAGACCACATAGATAAATACATCCTCTTGTTAACTTAGCAATGAAAATACCTGTTGATCAGTTACACTGATATGAAACGAATGTCGGTTTTGGGAATATCATTGACACATGGTGAGGTTAATAAGAAGTCGGTCCTTGAAAGTAGAATCTCCCACTTGTCCTTGTAATTTGCCAAGGTTGAGCAATTAGTCACCAGTTAGTTACATTAGTGGCAGGAAAATGAATGCCACACTTTTGGTACGAGACCTTTTAACTTTGTTGTGCTTATCGAGAACATGACACGACTAGCTTTCGTGAGGTCTTTTTATTCAGACAAACCGAAACAAATTGTTTTAGGAGAAACTAACCTGGATAGCGAAATCTAAATAGGCGGTTTCAGGTTTTAAATTACGAGTTGATGATGTCACGTATTATATCTGCTGATGATGAACTCGCTCGTGTAGCCTTATTCCAATTGATTTTTGGTCGCAATAAAGCAAATTTATTCTTTCAATTGAGCTAAATTTACTATATTTTATTTTATTTTGTTTTATTTGACCCGTTTTCACGTTTGCTGTGCTGATCCTAGCACTTCTCACATTCAGTTCGCTTCCTCGCACGCGTTGTCCACGAAAATCTTCTTACTTTACGTGTGGCTTCGGTTGCTGCTCCAGGATTTTCATTTCATCTTGAATGTTATAGAATGCTGGTTGAACAATTCTTCTTGGACTCCTGAGATAGCCGAGCTGGAGCGTTCCCAGTTGGATTGCAGAGAGTGATTTCTTCCCAGACAAGTCTGGTACCAATTTGCCGATCCCGGAGGAATGAGACGCTTGGTTAACCCGGAGCGGAATCGAACTAGCACCATGCTCGTGATGATGGACATTACTACCACTGATCGATAATGCTACGGAGTACTATGGTATGCGAAGTAACACGCATCATGATTAAAAGAATGATTGAGCTAAACAGTGTGGTGCCCGATTTTGTTATATCAATGTCATTATGTTTTACTTTTTATTTTTTGCCTACTACAATTTTTAAGCACGTTTTTAAGCGAACGCAACACTGCTGAGATATTCGCAAAACTCTGGGCCGCAGGTGTCTGTGGTGGGAAACGAACGTGCTATTACCCTTTCTGTGGGCTAACGCCTTCACCACCACACTATGCGAGTCCTCCGCTTCGTCTGACCCTTAGCTAGTCGTATCGATCAGTGCCGTCACCGTCATGACCCGTCAAGGGGACTGATCTGGAGATCCCACATTGGCATTGAACCTAGTTAAGCTAAGGCTGTAGTTGACATCACAGTGTTCTACCTTTCATTTTCTGTCTACTACAATTTTTACGGCAAGGTATTAAGCGAAATACAGCCACAACGTTGCTGAGATATTTGCAAAACTCCGGAACTCAGGTTTATGAGGTGGGGAACGAAAGCGCTGCCACCCTTTCCGGGGGCTAACGCGTTCAACACCACATCATATCCTTCACTTCGCTTTGTTTCTCAGCCATTAATGTCGTTTTTTACGCTAACAATGTCATTCATTCAGATTTCATTTAACGGCAAGCTCTATATAGTTAAATATCGATATTATTTGTTAGTTTATAGTATGTAGGTTTAGCTTGATCGTTACGGGAACCTCAGTCAAGTAGAACTTACATGTCCAACTTTCTTAAGCTTTCCGTTGTTGTGAATACTCCATAATTATTCACTTCGTGGCGTCATTAATAAGTTGACCACATATAGTCAGAAGAGACGGTTCGAATTAACGTAGTTTCTTATCCACGTTCTTTTTACCACATTGGAGCGTTAAAAAATGAAACCAAGCGCCGTATATCTACAGTAACACTAGCTCATTTTAACTTGTTTCCTCCAAATGTCTCCACTCACAAACCAATTGTTTAGCCAAAGTTTGCGCTGTTGTTATGTCTAAAGTTTGCCTTAAGTTCTTCTCGTTTTACTAAGTTATATTCTTCAACCGTAATATGTTATCGAGTAAGTCACCATTATTGGATCGGTATGAAATCAGTACCGGTCGTGACCAGCGCTACTTAGAACTATTTTGGCGATTTTACGAAAAGGATGAATGCTACAACAAAGCGATCATGTTCCTAATTTTGCTGGCTGGTAGTGAAAAGTGTGTTAACTTCTGTTGTGGTAACGTCAACTGGCACCTAGCCTAATGATTGTGGTACTAGATTGTGCGTGATAAGAATGATTTGTACTCCTTATAAAAGAATGTATCCATCATAGCACTGTATTATGGAAAAATTAAGCTTTTATTTAGGAGGGCCTTTCTTGATCGCACCAATTCACAGATGCCCCACACCGGTGTGCTTTTGCAAGCACCAGCAGGAAGACGAGAGCTATGATTAGAGAACTGCGCGACAAGGTGGAAGTCTCACATATTCACAAGGCAATAAAGTAAATGCATGTGTCGTTTTCTTGTTCAGCAATCGCGAGGTTTTTAAACAGCATACATTTACTTTCATAAAAACACAATACAATACAACGCTAGCTGACGTTTCGGCAGTATCGCCTTCTTCAGAGCCTGGAAGGGTATACTGATATACAATCTACTAGGCCAAACGCTTCAATAACACTTACACAAAGACAAAAGACTCTTTGGTAATTACACGATCAACAACTTCTAGAAAAAAACCCCCCGCTTTCTTCGAGACTTCCAATGAGGAAGTTTAGAACAGCTGATTATAGTCGCATGTGGTTGACGACTGCACCATCCCACATCAAAAATCGATGCGAACGTACGGGATCAGGTCGCGTATGATCTCCGGGCATTCGTCCCTGCTATTCATTGTAGGGTTTTTGGCATTGATCCAAAAAGCCCCTAGGAGTTTTCGCGCTGGTGTTTTGGACTCCTGTGCAAGGATATTGACTTTTACTTCAAAATCGTCTCCGCTATGTTTTTGTATCCTCCTCCTTTTGAGATTTTGAAACACTCGATAGTATATACTGCTGAGATATTTGCAAAACTCCGGACCGCAGGTGTATGTGGTGGGGAACGAACGCGCGCTAGCTATTGTCCTTACCGGGGAGTAGCGCACTTCACCACCACGCCATCCGGGTCCTTCGTTTTGCCCGTCTCTCAGCTAGTTCTATCGATCTTTTGCCATCAGCAATCACCTGTCAACGAAATTGGTCTGGAGAGCCCAAATCGGCATTGAACCCAGTTAAGCTTAGGCTTAGTTATAATCACAACTAGCTGAGAGACACCCAATACGAGGGACCCGGATGGCGTGGTGGTGAAGTGCGCTACTCCCCGGTAAGGACAATAGCACGCGTTCGTTCGCCATCGCATACACCTGCAGTCCGGAGTTTTGCAAATATCTCAGCACTATATACGAGTTATATTTTCCAACATACCCTGCCATTGAAAAGAAAAAGGCAGTAAATAAAAGGGTTAACACTCGATAGCTTCTTTATTAAAAGATTAGTGAGAAAGGCGGGATCTTTACGGACTTGTATAGAAGATTTTGCTCTTTCGCACTAAAAGTCCACATTATTTTTATAGAAAACTCCATTTTTAAATTTCTTTGGAAGTAAAACCGTCTAAAAATTGAATGCAGAACTTTAATTTTCAAACTTTCTCACACAAACCGTGTAGCCGCGAAATCGAGGGGTACATTAGAGAACATCATGATATTCTGTTGAAGAAATTCTAATTGCTCATTTTTTCGCTTCAAAATGCGAGTCTTAGTTGGACACTTGGATGACGCGTGCTCACTGGTTGTACTTGCCCTAGCATAACCTCCATTTTAACGAAGTTTTGCTGGTTTAGCCATTGTAGTTCCCCAAAG